CAGCTGGCTCCAAGGCAGGTGGCACATGGCAGAGCAGCAACAGTTCATGGCAACAGAAGACAGCAAAGGCAACAAGAGTAAAAAGCAGGGAGCAAGTCTCTTTCTGCCCTTTTATCTTATCCAAGCTGCTAGGATTAGGGTGGTGCCAGTCTAATCAGTGGACTGATCCAGCACTCACCCACCCTTAATCCCAGCACCCTTAATCCCAGGATTGAACCATGAATCAATCACAAACTCTAGATTCAGCTACCTCTGAAAAAGCTCCATCTAAAAGTGCATGAGGCTTTGAGGGGACATCTAGACACAAACCATAGCAGTGACTATGTGCTACTGATTTTTTTTTTGTACAAGGAATTGAACTCAGGACCTTGCACTTGCCAGGCACGTGCTGTGCCACTGAGCTATACTTCTGGTCCTTGCTACTGATTTTTGTCAAGTAGAGTGAGTGAGTGTGTGTGTGTGTGTGTGTGTGTGTGTGTGTGTTTGTGTGTTTGTACAGTACTAGAGATTGAACCCAGGGCCTTCATACTGAGCTACATCCCAGCCTTTTTAATATTTTTAATGTCAAGACAGGGTCTTGCTGAATTGCTAAATTGTGCAGGCTGCACTCAGATTTATAATCCTGTTGCCTCAACCTCCCAGAGTGCTGAGATGAGAGGTGTGTGCCACCACACCCAGCCTCCTAATGAGTCATAACAGTGCTTTATCTATTTTAATTACAAGATACACACACACACACACACACACACACACACACACACATATATATACAGTTTTTTCTTAGTGCCTAGTTTTTTCATTTCATTTTCATCAGGACTTCTTGATTTGTTTGCTGTCAGTGCTGGGGATTGAACCCAGGTTTAGGCATGCTAAACACACACTCTCTCTGAGCTACATCCCTAGCCCCATTTTTCTCCTTTGAAGGTAAAAAGTTTTAATTTAGTAAAATTCAGTTTATTGGGCGATAGGGTTCATTCATGTATTAAAGGCCAGACCTCCACTGTGACTATATTTGGAGATAGGGCCTGTCCTCCCAGTTATTCATGAGGCCGAGGCAGAAGGATCACCTGAGCTCAGGAGTTGAGTTCAAGGGCCAACATAGCAAGACCTTGTCTCTCTCTCTCATATATATACATATATAACCATAAGGGTGGGGTCTTCATCCAATAGGACTGGAGTTTTCATGGAAAAAGAAAGAGACAAGAGGAGGACACACACACACACACACACACACACACACACACACACAGTGGGGACACAGCAAGATCTGCAAGCCACAGATCGAGTGAGGCCTTAGAAGAAACCAGAGCTGCCAGTGCCTTGGTTGCAGATTTCCAGCCTCACAAATTTCTGTCGTGGAAGCCACGCAGTCTGTGGTGCTGTGTTGTGGCAGACCTGGACGATGGGCACATTGGTGTTCCAGGACATTTGCCTGACCCGAGGTCCTAGTTCCTTCTATTCTTTTTCTTCTAGAAGTTTTACCATTTTACCTTTTGTTTCCCTCTCTTTTTACTTTTAAAACTTTCTTTTCATTTTGTGTATCTTTTAAGGCATTATCCATTATGTTCATTTGTTCCTGTGTTCCACCTGATTTTTATTATTTTTGAAATTAGTTTTGCAGGCCCAACATGGTGACACACACCTGTAGCCCCAGCACTCAGGAGGCTGAGGCAGGAGGATTGCTGTGAGTGTGAAGCCATCCTAGGCTACAAAGTGAGCTCAAGGCCAGCTTGGACTGCATAGTGAGACCCTGTCTCAAAAAGACAAAAAAAGAAATTAGTTTTACATATATATATATACTTATATACCTTCTAACTTTCTCTATTTCTGTTTTATGTTGGTCTTGCACAATTTTTAAATGTCTTTTAGCCCATGTTGATGAAGTAGGTTACAGTCTTAATCTGCTTGTGGGTATGTTTTCATGGCGTGCTCTTTCTCATTTCTTAAATTTCTTGCTTAGTTTATTAATTTCTATTCTTTCTTATTTTCTGTTGTAAATACCCAAAGCTGTATGTTTTCCTCTAAGTACGATTTATACTCCGTCATACATTGTTTCTTGGGTTTGTTCATCTATTGTTGTTGTTTTATTTGGTGTGTGTGTGTGTGTGTGTGTGTGTGTGTGGTGTGTTGTGTGTGTATGCACAGCACACACATGTGCCTGTCTGTCTGGCACTAGATTTGAACTCAGAGCTTCATGCATGCTAAGCATGTACCCTACCACTGAGTTACACCACCAACCTCGTAAGCTTTCCTTTGTGTTGTTTCATGACCTCTCAATTTTAGATATTTACCAACTGCATCATAATTTTTTCTTTGATCCTGAGTTATTTTCAAATACACTTTTAAAATTTCAAACTCTCTTTAGTTCATTGATTTTTAACTGATTACATTGATTATTTGCTGTCAAAGGAAATTGTAGTCTTTGAAATTTCTTGAGAATGGTGATATTTTTATTGCTATTAATAATATTTTGTTAATAACTTATATGTGGTCCTTCAGGTAGTTCTATATATGCCCCACTAGACTTGAAGCTAGGTAGTTCTTTTCACATGTATTTACTGATTTTTTCCTTCGCCTAATCATGACTGTAGAAAGTGTGAGGGCTGGGGCTTTAGCTCCGTGGCACAGTGCCTGTCTGGCATGCATGAGACCAGGGCTCGATTCCTTGTACTCCCCCCACAAAAAAAGTGAGCTGTAGTAGGCATGGATGAGTTAGAACTTTTCTGTCTTCCTGGTGAATAGAATTGTTTATTCTTACACAGTGACTCTGCTTTCGTATTGTGTTAGACTTTGAAGTCAGTATTGTGCCTCATCAAATCAGCCTTTTCTTTCTTTTTTTTTTTCCTTTTGGTACCAGGAATCGAACTCAGGACCTTACGCTTGCCAGGCAGGCATTTATGCCACTGAGCTATATCCCCGGCCCTGCCTCGTATTAAATAACAACACCAGTTCTTCTTTTGTTAATGTTTACCTGATATAACTTTACACAAGAAATAAAACAGGGTCTGACTCTTCCCAGGCGTCTGTTCTCTGTCTCAGCCCCACCTCAGTCTTCTCCAGTCACCCGCCCCTCAGTCCCACATCAGGGACATCCTCCAGGCTCCTTCCTTCGCAGTCTGCACTCAACCCACCGTGAGTTCTGTCAGTTTCACTTCCAAAATAGAACCTGAGTCCAGCCCCTTCCTGCGGCCTCCACCACCTGCTCTCTCGGGTCCGGCCTCCCGCAGCCTGCTAGCTGGCTTACCAGAGAGATCTTTTAAAAATCTGAGAGCGCTTCAATTCCTGTCTGCATCTGTCCATGCTGCTCTAACAAAATACCTTAGACTGGGTGAGTTAGAAATAATAGCGTTTTACTTCTCATAGCCAGAGGCTGGGAAGTCCAAGACTGAGGAGCTGGCACTGGTGAGGGCTGCTCCCTGATTCCAAGATGGTGCCTTGTGGCTGTGTCCTCACGTGAAGGGACAGAGCTGTGTCCTCATATAGCGGAAGATAAGGGAGGGCCAGGCAGGTCTCTGAAGCCTCTTTCATGAGAGTGTCCGTCACATTTATGAGGGAATTATTTCCCAGAAGGCCTCTCTCTTAATATCACCACTGTGGAGTTTTGGAGGCACACATATATCCAGTCATAGCAGCCCCCCTATTTGAACCTTCCAGTGGCTTCTGCTCACACTCAGAATGAACCCCAACTCCTTACTCACACTTCCAAGGCCCACCTGACCTGCCCGCCACCCACACCCCCCCTCTCCCTTGCCCTCTGGGTTGCTGCCATCTTGGCCTGTTGTTTTTCTGGACAGGTCAAGCTCTGCCCACCACAGGCCTTTTGTTCTTGTTCTTCCTCCCAACACACCATCACCTGGCTCCCGCCTTCTCCTCAGTGATGTCTCTGCTTCACACCATTGTCTTAGTTACTTTTCTCTCGTTGCTGAGACAAAATGCCTGATGCCCAATATTAAGGAAGGAAAGGTTTATTTAGTTCACAGTTGGTGAAGGTTTCAGTCCACACTCGGCTGGCTCCAAGGCAGGGTGGCGCATGGCAGAGGGCAACCGTTCATGGCGGTGGAAAACAGCAAAAGCAACCAGAGCTAAAGGGAGGAGCGGCAGCAAGCAGCCTCTTTCCCTCCCTTACATTGTATGCAAACTATCCACCCCAGGGCGGGTGTAACACTCACACCCATAATTCCAACATTGGACCATGAATCAATCACAAACTCTAGAAGCCTGCCCCATGATTGCGTGAGGCTTTCAGGGGGACACCCAGACACAAACCATAACAGCATCTTCCCGAGATGTCTTTGAAAGCAGTCACTCCCACGTTACCCTCTTACCACTGGACTTACGGGCCCCTGACATCTTGTTGGCGTGACCCTTGTCTTTCGTCCCCCTCCCGTCTGAGGGCAGGACCTCATCTGTGGCATGTGCCCATCCTCTCGTTCTTGGAACAGTGGCCAGCGTGTAGATCTCCCCTTTGACCCCGGTGTTCTCAAGAGATTGGAGTTGTGGACCTGCATGTCCCGCTCTGACACCTACACAGCAGGTGGCCCTTACCTGGCCCTGTAAGGAAAACATTCACGAGTGCTCACAAGAGCAGCCACCGTGCAGCTCTGCGAGGGAGGCATTGCCCGTGAGGAGACTGAGGTTTAGGGGCGCTGATCTGCCTAAGGTCCCCCAGTGAGTGAGAGGCAGAGCCGGGATTTCCAACCACACCTGCCTGGCTCGCAAATCAGGCTGTTCTTACTCTGTCCCAGCCTAATGGATAGATGGCTGGCGGGATGGATAGGTGGCTGGCGGGACGGATAGATGGCTGGCGGGATGGATAGGTGACTGGCGGGATGGATAGGTGGCTGGCGGGATGGATAGATGGCTGGCGGGATGGATAGGTGGCTGGCTGGCCGGATCAGTGGGTATTCAGGCTGAATGGAGGGAGGGGTGGCCACGTGGTTGCTAAGTCTCCCCATCAGAGAGGCCGAGTCCACGGCCCATCCTCCTCCTCCTCCCCACAGCTTTTCCTCCCGCAGACGGTGGCGCAGGGTGCAGAGGTGTTCAGGAACCACGGCGCTGGTGTGTTCCCTGATGTGCCTGGAGAAACAGGACCTGTACAACAAGTTCAAGGGACGTGTGCAGGCGGCCTCTGCCAGCGCCAGGTCCCCCTGGGTGGAGTCTCAGTACCTGGATTACCTCTTTGAAGGTAGGTGTGGGGACGGGACCGAGAGGGGGCTTCTGCCCCGGGAGAGCTGCGCTCGGCACCTGTGCTAGTCGGGGCTCCCCAGGGAAAAGAACCTACAGAGTCTGCAGTGATGAGAGAGGATTGGTTCAACTGCTTCTGTTGAGGCCGAATGCTCCCACAATAGCCGTCAGCAGACCACAGAGCTGGAAAACCGGCAGTTGCTCCGTCCAAGAAACCGGAAGCCTCCAAATGAGAGAAATTTGAGGCTGAAGGCCCAAAGTCCCCTGAGGGCTACTGCACGTCCACGCTCAAAGGCTGAAGAACCTGGAGCCCGATGCCCGAGAGCGACAGCGGCAGAGCACGCGCCTGCTCAGGAAGTGAGAGTGAGAGCAAGAGGGAGAGCGAGTTCCCCTCCTGCCACTTGCGGTTATACCCAGCGCCCAGGGGCATCGGGCACATTCAGGGCAGGTTTTCCCCCCACTCAGCTCACAACCAGGTGCCAAGCTACTCTGGAAACACCGTGTAGCTGCACCCTGAAATGTGCTCACCACTTCCCTGGGCAGCTCTCAATGTGGTGAGGTTGTCGCTCAAAATTAGCTGTCACACCATCTGTCTCCATCTTCCGCAACACAGAGCTCCTCCCCGGGGCAGCTCGCTTGGGGCCTGCCGGGTGACAGGGGCCAAGGACCAGCCCCAGGCTGCGGCCACGTCTAGTAACCTGACTTCGTGTAGAAAGTTAGTGACTTCCAGTTAATGCCGGAAATTCAGCTTGTACCTCCTCTTTACCAGGTTCATAATTGCCTACATCACCCCACATTGGCCATGAACAACCCAGAGCGCTTAATAGTTATTCTATTTTTGTCTTGTTCAGCTTTTCTCTTTAAGAGGTTTTATTATTGTTATTATTATTATTATCCAGGCATCATGACACATGCCTGTAATCCCAGCACTCGGGAGGCTGAGGCAGGAGGATCGTTGCGAGTTTGAGGCCAGCCTGGGCTACAAAGTGAGTTCAAGGGCAGCCTGAACTGCATAGTGAGACCCTGTCTCAAAAAGACCATAAAAAAAAAAAGAAAGACTAAAAAGACCAAAAAAAAAATTCAAGAGGAAAAATAAAATAAACACGCTTTCCACCAACAATCACAAGCACTCACATTGGGTGAAGAGGGCACGTTTTAAAAATATATTCTAATCCTCACAGAAAATATGTGGCTTTTATTTTCACCGACTCATTTTTGGGAAAAGATAAAGCAAGTCTTGTGGAAGCCACGTAACCTGCCAGAATGCACTTCTAGCAACTGATGGGTGTTGAATGTGAGTCTGGGTCTTTCCGAACTTAGGCAAAGAAGGGAAGACTGCACGGCCTCCTGGGGCTTAGCTCACACTTGCTGCCCACACTTCTCGAAATGTTTGAGGGCAAATGAGGGGGCAGGAAAGGGTAGCAAAGGAGAGAGGATGTGGGTGGGAAGAGTCTGGATGGATGAAAGAAAAAAAGAGTGGGTCTTAGTTACTTTTCTTGTTGCTAAGACAAAACACTCAACACCCAAAATTAAGGGAAGAAAGGTAATTTTAGCTCACAGTTTGTGGAGGGTTCAGTCCATAGTCGGCTGACTGCAAGGCAGAGAAGCATCACAGGGGAAAAACAGCCCACGGCAGAGCAGGCAGGTGGTGGCAGCAGCAGCAAAGCAAGCCTCCCTTTCCCTTTTATCCCATCCAGGTTACAAGACTTTAGATTGGTGCCACCCGTGAGTGTGAGCCTTCCCATAATGTGCACCTAGAATTACACTAAACCAGTTAGTGGGCTAATCCAGTACCACATTTCCTTAACCCCGGTGTCACACACCCTAGCTCCAGCCACCTCTGAAAAGCCCCACCTAAGGGGCTGGGGATTTAGCTCAGCGGCAAA